TCTCTAATTATTTTTCCCTAGCAAATTTCAATTGAACCTAAAGCTGTCACGTCAGTTTAATTGGTATGCTAATTGATTGACAACTAAGCAAGGTTACTTTTTAATTATTACAAACTTGAGATTACATCTTTTCAAATGTTTCTCAATTAATATATAGGGGATTAGGTAACAAATCTAAACTAAAATATTGTATATATCATGAAACCTTAAAATGCTTTGTTAAGATATTGAATCTGTGATTATAAAGTAAAAGGTAAAAAAAATGGCAATAAGTATAACATAATATATTGATAAATTAGGTGTCATCATTAGTCTGCGGACTATCAAATGTTTTATTTGCAATTCTATCTACTCTACGAATAGATTTATCTTAAAAATTATAGAAAATCTACTTGAAATATACTTTTAATGTATCACAAATATTAGGTAAGAGCGATTTTCAACGCTAGATAATAATCCATTTGTTTCATTTTTATTGTCGTTTTTAGGTTTATTCACAAAAATTAAGAAAATATTTTATTTTCAATAGTATGACTGACAACTTGTACATTAGTAAGCGATTTTCAATTTTTTTTCACGTAAACGCTTTAACGAATGTTAAATTAATTAATAGCATGATTAAAGAAGTAACACTTTAATAGTTTATATGAAAATGTATTAAATACTGGAACAAAAAAAAACAATGTTTAAAGCAAAAGGTATCATCCCTGATGTTTTGAAACACTTCTTTGTAAACAACATTTGTAAAAACTTTCTGAACATTGCCTGTCTAATGTGTGATTAGTATCGTCAAACCGGACCTCAATTTTTGTTCCTCAATTTTTGTTCGAGAGAATGAAACTGTAACTACCCATGAGAAAATAATAGGCCTCAGAAGAAACAAACCTACGTTTTCCAGTGACTGACCTTGGCTTTTGTTTATCGTTATTGCAAATGCTAACGTCAAAGGGAATTATCTACGACACTTTCAGAATGGAAACCTCCCATCATATGGTGTAACATACATTCTCTGTATCAGGTATTTTTCAGTGATATGTCTTGCCCTTCCTGTCATGATAACAACCTGAACAACATGATGAGATATGTTTGTTATGATAAGCCTGGCATCGTTGCATAATCCATTTGTAGGATCAAGGTTACGCATTCACATCACAACAGCACCAACCTTTTAGTGTAGTCTCGTGTTTAGGCAAACCGAGTTTAGAAACTCTATTGGATAATTTAAAACACTTCAGGGATCCACATTAGTTGGATCAATGCTATCTGAGCTATGATATAGCATATCTTTACCTGTAAATGTAATTTAATTGGTCATGAAACGTCATGAACACATATTCAAACTTAGAATGAGAAATATTTATATGAAAATAAATTTAAATAAGTACCTCTCAAATTTGATAGCATATAATCATTTATCTGATCGACATCATCATTTGTAGGATAAAGAATTGCCCTATTTCTGAGAAATTCTTGATATGATCTACCACCAAACTTACATCCATATACCTCTTTCAAAATTGTAGGTCTCGGATCATCGGATTGTTTTATAAGAAGGTCATTTGGAATATCAATAACCAAAATCCCATCATTTGGATTGTTGATGTTTCCATCTCCAACTGCTAGTATTCACTCTGAGAATAATCTAAGTTCTTCAGTTTCTTTTTCGGTATGACCATAAAGCAATCTCATGTTCTTCGTTAGTTTAAACACATTGCAATGATCCCAAATATAAGATGAATTCAGAGAATACATTACAGTTTCCACACGACCACCATAAGAAATAACCAATAGAATTTGACGAAATCACCTCTGAGTCAATAACTTTGCCACCAAATGGTTTATGCCATTTTGATCTGATTATATTGCATAGTTTCCTATCAATATTTTCAAAACAATGTCTACTCATCATAGGTGCTTCGTCCCACACAATAAGATCGGACAATTGCAAAATTTTTGTAAGATCTGGATCTTTGTTAATTTTGCAAGAAATGGATTCATCCAGAGGGATACTAAACCTAGAATAAGCAGTACGTTCACCTTCTAATAAAAGAGCAGAAAATTCCACTGGAGGCAGTGTTGATAACAATTTTATCCAATACACGAATAGCAGCAGATAGTATGCTCCAAATAAAAAATTGGTAGTTCCTCCAAAACCAGATAAAAAAATGTGTCTTTATCATGAATAACAACATCTAATATATCTTCATAGTAGTCTTTGTTGTTCCTTTCTTTGTTCTTCTTGCTTGTATCTGAGCGCATCGAGACTGTTCCCATCATAACTCTTGAAATCATCTGCTTTAGGTTTTTTATCCTAGTTCTCTAAAGGGGGCCACTTTTTCCGAAAGATGTTCGATTTCGAAAAAAGCGATGTTTTTATTTGATCTTTGGATAAAGTCAATGCTGCAAGTCATGGTTAAAAATTACCATTGGTATATTAAATGAAGCTCTATTAAGATTATCATACAGACCAATAGATAAATATCTAAACATCTGTATATATTTTTTACCGAGATTATTGTGTTTTTTTCTTCTGCTGATACTAAATGTCTTTTGTTAAATTTTCCCATGTCGAATTCTAGCCAAGGTTTGGTTGTGTAGGACAATTTCTTATCAACATAATAACAAATAACCTACGTAGATAATAACTGGTAGACCAAAAGCTCTCTTCCTCAATACCTAGAATGTATTCCTTATCATCATCAAACAACCCGAATACTCTGCATGCCTCTTTGAATGTTACATAGGTTACACCATTCACAGTACGAGTATCTTCAAAATATTTTAGGACCTTTTACATAATTCAGTAGAACCCGAAGATAGTAAAGCTCTTCGAATTTATTCCTGATATCTGCAATTCTACCAATTCCAAAAGAGTGTTTCCTCGGTTTCCATATTCTCTCTTTTCTGTTCCAGGAAAATCTAGTAGGTATTTCAGCATACATTATATCACTTGCTTCTGGATAATTTTTACACGCTTCAAACCAACCTTAAAATTGAGATACACTCACTGTAGCATTCCTGGTCCTAGAGAGGATCGTCGGGATAGGCCATGGACGAGGGAACGTGTAAGCCGGTCGAAAGACACAAAGGCAAGTTTTCCATGATCTGAATGAGTTAAGTTCGAGTGATGATCTGGAATTAGTCAAGAAGACGAAGGAAAAGAGGGAAAAGGAGCTGGACTGAGTTAAAGTAAGAGTGGTACGAGATGGATGAAGCTTAGATGATTTGGATGTCTCAGGAAATCTGGACGGAGATCGGGAAAGCTGAATGGAGCTCACAAAGAGTTCAGTCAGCTAAGACCAGCTTGATCAGCTTGTAGACCGAGCTCATCTAGTTGGATCAACTATGAGGAGCTCAGTTCACCTGGGTGGAGTGTTCGACTGTTGTTCCGGTTGGCAGTTACTGGACAAAGGGGCGTGCATATAGATAACCGCCCAAGCGGTTACCAAATTACACCTTTTCGCCCCAAAATGGTTTTGGATGAATTTTCTATAAAACCAAGGCGTGGGGATCGATTTTAGGCACAAAAGTTCTCTAAGGAAACATAAAAACTTGATCAGAAAGAAAGACAACTGAAAGAGTGGAAACTTGGGAAATTTTAAGGAGAACTTGATCGGAATCTATTCTAGAAGGTGATCTATCCGTGATTGCTTGAATATCGATCGAACATGGATCCTAAGGATAAGGAGAAGAACGTAGTCACTCCAGAGCGCATGTCTAAGGTGGATGGACTGGCTAGACCGTCAGGCATGGACGGGATTGATCTGATCGATTCATGGCCAAGCGGTTAACATCCTTCTCTCTATATACTTGATCGTTTCTTCTTTCTTCTGCACAAATGATCGAGTAACATGGCTAAGGTCTGGATGGGTTTGTACATGATCATGGCCATTTGGCTATATCGAGTTTGGGATGATCCGGTTGGTTCAGTGTTAAGACGGTTTGATCTAGATCCGTACACTGAACCTAGCTGTTTGTCTGATTGACTAAGATAGTCGATATTGTTATGGGAACACACATGTTGAACTTAGAAAGAACCAGTTATATTTTTGCATGCATTAAAACGTAACTCGTTAAGGTTCCGATTAGATTTCTTATGTTGTTGTTGGTTTCAGGATCTAATGATGATCGTGGTAAGGATTTGGCTTAGCCGTGAAGACTCGAAGCCAAGGATAGATGGGTTGTTGTATAAAATGATTAGGTTTGATTACTTTGTAATAGCTTAAAAGGAAAACCCTCATTTTATAGAATCCTTGGTGAAATAAATAAAGAATCGGTTATCTCTTATCGTACTAACTCTAGATACTCACATATAAACTCTAACAAAAGAATCATTGAATAATTGAACTTGATTTAAGAATATAAAGGCATTAAATTGAACAGGACCGCGGCCTGGTTATTTCATGGTTGATCCTTACGAACCTCACCGGACTTAAGATCCGGGTTAGGGTGCTTTAAGTTGGTATCAGAGTTTGCTTGATTCTAGGATTAGTTGGGTTATGGGAATACACCACTCAAACGGTACAGGTCTCACAGTATGTTTTGCTTAGTGTAGGATGTATTATATGTTGTGGTGGTTTTCTAACATGTTTTATTTTAGGCTGGAAAAAAGCAAAACCCCAAGGACAAAAAAGGCAAGGGATTGGCTGAATCAAGTCAAGTGGCCTTGGATGGAGTAGATCCATTAAACTCCACATCAATTGGACCTGAGATTGGACAAATTGATGGGGGAACGCCTTTGGTTAACACCAACCTTGGTGAGACCTGGATTGAGGATCCTGAAAACCGCGGCCATATCATCATGAATAGGAAGGTGTGGAATCATAGAAAAATTGATATGATACACTAAACATCTACCATAATATTATTCTTTAATAGAAAAGCACGAAAATTAGAAAAACTAAATATACAATATAAGAAAAATAAAAAATAAGTAAATATACAACATAAGAAAAATAAATATATAGTAAATATATAATATAAGAAATATAAAAACTACATTAAGTATCTATCTGAAAATTATAATAAAATAAATAATAAGTAAATTTTACATTAAACATCTATTGTATTCCATTTAATATAAAAACAAGAAAAATAAAACAAGTAAATATATAATATAAGAAAGAAGAAAAATATATAAACATATAATATAAGAATAGTTATATAATTAACATTTGAAAATCAAAATAGTTATGTGCGTGTAGTGCGGATTAACCCCTAGTATATCTACATACATAGTTTTGATTAAAGAACTTCAAGCAATTTATACATACGTGTAACGTGCATGCAGCCATGATCAATCTACATATATTGTCATATTTTCTTCATTCTTTACAATTTTACTTGGTACATTTATATGTAAAAATGCATTAAGAACGTAAGGTTTATCTTCTTCGACATCATCAGAAGCAACATCGATGCAATAAACCCTAAAGCTTGGAGATCCATGGCATATCATCCTCTCATCTAAATCGCCCATCCTCCCTTCATCATGATCAACACCATTATCTCCTTCCTTCTTAGAAATTATGACCTCATCAAGATGACTGCAATCATCATGCGCAACACCATTATCTCATTTCTTCTTAGCAAAGATAACCTCATCATGATTTATACTAACATTTTTTCTCTTTCTTAACATTGATGGCATCGTCATTCTTCTTATCTTGTTTCTTCACTACCTCTTCGACCGGGTGTTATGAACACGTGTCTACTCATTTTAGACCACCCAACGTATCCCGTTACCAGTCCCAGGAGTCATTGGACACATACCTTTGATCAAATACCAATCCAACCATATTCATATACTTCTACTTACAGTCCTGCGCATAGGGGAAATGGAAAAAAAAAAAAGCATGAGTAAATAGGTTACTCAGTGAAGCGGTTATAGGCCAGCTTCTCCACTTAATACTCTACACTGCCTAATACAAAATGAGAGCTGGCTAGGCACTAAAATCAATCATTCAAATGAACATACTATAACATAACATCATTTCCATACTTTTATTTCAACCTAGCGATCAAGCAATAAAATTAACTCAATCATAGCTATACCATATATTCGACTCGGCTCCACATTACTAAACGACTCGAGTAGACGTGACACCAATTAAGGACCTACATGCTCGCTCACGGAAGTCCCACCTCGTGTCGGAAAATCCCAAGAGTTCTTACATGAAGCAATGTCTCCCAGCTTCCTAAATGACTACCCGAGTTGCAGTTCGGTGACCCCTCTCTGGCTCCGTCTGCCACCCCATTCCTAATAGTCATAATTATGCCACGACTCCGAATTGAATCGATCTTACGGCGCCCTTCACATTTTCTATCTTGCCTTTCACGGTCACCGTTCGATCACGGTCTTATCACTTATCTACCTACGGGTACCTCCTGTTAGGCTACTGTCCCGCGGGTACACATCACATCACACACTAGACTCACAATCATTCTTTGTGTTCCAAACATGACTTCTACCACATTAACTCATTCTCATTCTCATTACTCATTAACCCTAAATTTCACCTTACATATTCATTAGACGCCACTCATTATCAGTGTCCATTACATATTTCACTTAACAAACATCCCATACACACATTCATGATACCAATTGTAATCTCTACATGTTGATGATCATGATACCAGTTGTAACACACCATCAATAGTAGGATCCACTAGTAACCTAGGCGTACACTTCTCTCTAGCAACGTAGCTCTTATCATCATTCATCACAAACATCATAACAACCAATCACACAAACATTCATTCATAAATATTCATACACATCAACACAAGGCATTTCATCAAGTCCTTTTAAAAGGTGTCACTACAAGAAATAAGAGTTTTAACAGAACCCGAAAATCGCTATCGTACGATACCATAGCGTTGTAGAAAGCGCTCCAACATCGCCCGCGATAATAGGTCTAGTGCATTAGATAGCGGTTTTTGTAGCCGCTATTGATATTAATTTAGTAATAGCGTTTTTGATTATGCAATTGTAATTTTTTTTAATAACGTGTCGAAAATGTTATTATAACATTTTTACTATAGCAGTTTTTAAATTTTACAATAGCATGTTTTAACTACTATTGTAGTGTTCTATCAATAGCAATATTTGAATTTTTATTGTATTTTTAAAATGTAATTGTTTCATTTCGTTTATGACAAATTTAATTTAATATTTTTATTTTGAAAATAATACAAAAAAATTGTAAAATAAAAATTCATTCAAATTAATATTATAATAAAACCGGTTTACATACAAACCAGATTACAAATGTTTTTGGTTTACAAATTAAACCGGTTTACATACAAACCAGGTTTAAAAACTAAATCTAAAAAAACCCAAAAAAATATCCCTAACTCCTCCGCACCGCCTCCTTTGCACCTCCTCCGCACCGCCTCCCCCGCTCTGCCTCATCCGTCACCACAACTCCATCTATGAAACTGCCCCGTCCTTTTTTATTCTTCTGCTTCCACCTCCTGCTGTTCTTCATCCTCTTCTTATCTTTGAAACCCAGTTTTCAAAACATAAACAGAAAAAGATTCAAACTTTCATCGAAAATTCTTTTAATCAACGCCTTTACCATAAACAGAGACAAAATCAGAATGAAGAAAGGGAGAGAGAGAGATTGCGGAAACTTCTTTATCATCGTTCACTACCCTAATTGGAGCCCCAGTGAGGAACTTACTCGATGGCTTAGTTGATGTCAGATTGTGTTTTGATTGAAGATTCTCTTGGACTCGAGACATGAACCAACAAGGTGAGAAGTGGAGCCCTTCGTAAAAGATGGAGAATTTTTCTGGGTTTCTTAGGGTTTATTCCAGAGAAGAAGAAAAGATGGAGCTTTGATTTTTTTTTTCAGATTTGCGAGGGTAGAAGAGGAGAGGAGCAGAGATCGAGAGAGAGAGAGAGAGAGAGAGAGAGAGAGAGAGAGAGAGAACCATTAAAAATAAGCAAAGTGTTTATGTCCCTTAGATTAAATTCATCAACGGTTAATATTGAAAAGGAAGTTATCCCCACTTTCTTCTATTAGCCAATAGAAAAGAATCACTAGGATTGGTATTAAAAAAGAAGAATAACGTAAAAGTAGGTGAGATATAGATGTTGTCCTTACTTCTTTCTTTTTTTATTTTATCTTATTAAGTTTGACATATCATTATATGTTTACATAGACTAATGATGATTAATTTCAATATGATATATAATCATGATCTTCTTAAGAATAAATTAAGAATTATCATAAAAGAATTTAGAGTTTGAGTATAAATTGGAAGAATAGGGTTTGATGTAAGGTTTGGTATTTATAGTGTATGTGTTTGATTGAGTTTAAAGACAATGATATAAGATCAACAAAATAATTAGATTTCACATTTTATAAGTAATTTAAAATTGATCAAAACTAACAAAATAAGTTTAACAAAATGATAGAAAATTTATAAAATTATTAGATTTCACTTTTAAAAGCAATTTTAAATTAAGTAAAAGTAATGATGTAAGATTAATAAAATTAAATAATTTTAGGTTATATTTATATTTTTTGGTTTATAATTAAACCCAGCATATTCTAAGCCCCAATCCTAATATGTAAGATTATATTTATATTTTATGGTTTATAATTAAAATTTCAAGATTACAAGTATAAAATGAAAAGATAAGTGTTTATGATATAGGGTTTGGTGTTGAAAGTATGTGGTTTATGGTATTATATTTACACTTTTGTATTCGAAAGTTATGACCTATATAGTTAGATATATTTTTTTTAAAAAAATATATAATTTAAGTTGAAAATGTTTTATATATCTTAGGTATTTATTAGAGTTTATATAAGGAATATGTTTTAGTTTAGTAATTTTATTATTTGTAGTATTTAGATTTTTGACTTTATATGTAGGGTTTGAATTTGGGGATTAGGGTTTAGCTTTAGGGTGTAGATTTAAAATTTGGTTTTTGAGGTTTTGATTTTAAATTGGAGATTATGTTTCAAAATTTTTAAATTTTGAGTTTAAGTTTAAGATTAAAATTATATTATGAAAATATTGAAAATTTTAAAATTTATGTTTAGAATTTAAAAACATGTTTAGGGTTTAGGGTTTTGGCTTTTTTTTTAATTACAAAATACAAATAAGCAAAAAAAAAGTTTTTAGAGATTTTTAAAATGATTAAATTTTGAAATTTAAGATTAAAGCTAACTTTTTCCTTTGATAAAATTTCAAATTATTGAGCGATCATAACAAATATTTTTTACAAATCAAAATTTAAACTTAATCTTTATCTATACATTTTACATTGAATGTTTAGAGGTATTTACTCTAACATTATATAAGTATTATACTAACAACACAAGTCTTGCCAAGTATTAGTTGATAACATGATCTGCTCCTTTCCGTGTCTAAGCTGATATCTATCACCTGTGAAGCTCCTGATTGAATTTAACTGGATCCTTCAAGCTTCAAGCAGCCTCCTCACTGAAAAATATTACCTGCTCAAAATATGGAACTGCCTCTGTGGCTGATTTGTGACCAACAGAGAACTGTGTCCAA